ATTATTTTAACTTTACTTTCTATAATTAAAGATGAAGTTGATTCTCTCCATTTCAATGAGAGCTAAACTTGTTTCTCTCCACTCTTCTACATAGTTTTAATTGACATTATCATCCACGCAGCTGGCATGCTGAAAGATCACTCACTTCATTATCCAATCACTTAGTAAAGTCTTTTTCTTGTATATGCAACATATTTAAATTAGTTCATTTATGTCCATCTCTGCCACTTCCTCAGTCCATATAATTATTTATTAACTAATATGCTAATCATTAGTTATGTTCACTAAGTATTTTAAACTGTCCGTTTTTCAGGACTTGTCAAAAATGTATTTCACCACTTCATTTCAAGTTAGGTACCTGACTTCCTTTGTCTAACAAAATGCTAGTGGAAATAATGTGTTACTTTCTCTTGAAAGCTTTAAAAGTCAATACACAAGTTTTTCATCTTTCTTTTTTATGCCTTCACAACTAAAGAAGCTCAGAGATGGAGTTTTCCTCTGCCTGATCCAGGGACAATGACATGGGTCAGAATCCCCCAGTTGACCCTGAATGACCACGTAACTCATTTGGTCAATGAAATCTGAACAGAAACGGCATCATTTCCCTCCAGGCTGAGACTAGTGAGCCTTCTCTTTTCCTTTCCACTATTACTTCAATAAATGACCATGAAACCATACATTAAAAAGTTGTTGCTACAGTACTGTAGCAATCTGTGTCTCCAAGTCACTGCGTACCCAAGTGAGAGGCCTAATTTACAATGGACCTTGAATAAGTAAGAGATAAATCACATAATGATAAAATGTCCAACTCTTTAGAATGATTTAAAAATTCTAAACTTAAATAGATCTAAGAAAATCAAAATGCGTAAAGCAAATATAGATAAAACTACAAAGAGAAGTTTCCAAATTCATTATCATAGTCACGCCAAGAATCACCTTAAAAACAAAAGCACAAATTAGTGAAGAAATTGAATGTCTGAACAGCACAACCAGTAAGCTTGATTTAATGGGCCTATACACAACCCCTCACGCAACAATTAAAGAACCCATATTCTTCTCAAGCATTCAAGAAACAAGCATGAAAACTGAGCATGTACATGGTCATAAAGCAAGCCCGGAGAAATGTCAGAGGTTAGTATTATACAGACTCTTGCAGAGCACAGAAAAAATAGAGAAAACAATGCTCTCTTCAGTCGTGAGCTGGCTTAACCTGGAACCTTAATAATAGCTGAAGATGACCAATGAAAAGGCAAACAATACACACATCAACTTATTTCTAAACTCCTTGGCAACATACGAACACAGCAAATCTAGGAACTTATAGACAACAAAATCAAGTATCATGCCCGAGACAGGTATATTATTGGAATACAAAGGTTATTTTAAAAAGACCTATAAATGACATTCATCATAGTAAGAGATGAAAAGAAAATAACGTTATTTCTAAAGGTATAGAAAAAGTATTTGATGAATTGTAGCATCCATTCATGATAAAAATTAGTAATTTAGGAAGAAAAGGAACCTACTTAATCTAAATTATCTACCAATACTCTACAGCAAAAATCTGTTTACTGTTGAAAACTTTCTCGTTTGATCAGGGACAATCAAAAATACCAAGTATCAACCATATCTAGTTTATATTTTACTGGACATATTAGCAAACCCAGTAATATAAGTTAAACACACAAACCACAAAAAGATATATGGTTAGTCAAGAAAACAATGAAACTGTCAAAACTGTCATGATCACATACGATGGAATTCTTTTCATAGGAGACAAAATATCATTTACAGAGCATTATTAGAATTAATGTGTCTAGCAAGGAGATTGGATATAAGATCAAAATACAAAAATAAATTATATTAATGCTTACTAGCAGCAATGACCAACCTTGCACTCTCAGCCAAATCTTGGACTTGCTACTCAGTAGTCTGTTGATGAAGCCAATTTATTTGTAATCCTCTATTAGATTACTTATTGTTTTCCCAATTATGACATCCTGGTATATATAGAAAATAATAACATTTGTTTAGCAACCTAGGGTAATGGGCAAGTCTCCTCTTGGTTCTGGAAGGAACCAGCTCAGAATCATTTATGGCATATGCTCTTTCATATTGAGAGACCAATTTGAAACTTACAAAGTGCTTTCATTGACATTTCACAGACATTTGCTCTAACACATAGAAATATGCTGTTCTCCCCAATGAAGTTATTTTTAACAGACCTGATGAAAATGGTTATTCTGCACATGTATATCTGTCATGTGATATGCTCTCCTGGCAACACAGCCTATTTAGAGTTGACTGAAAAAGCTTGTAGTTAATCTCTATTGTAATATTAAATTGACTCATTAAACCATTAAGTTGCTCCCCAAAATATTTTTTGTTTCGCCATTTATATGAAAGACAATGTTCAGACCAGTTTTAGTAGTAGTCGCAATATGAATCAGGTTTGGAATGCTTTTTTAATCTCAAGACCTGTAAAATAAGATTTCTAATTTCAGTATTGGTCAACATTAGACAGTTTCTGGATGGAATAGGAAATCATATAAAAGTTTGCCAATTATTTTGGAAACTTTGCTGTTTTTAAAAATACAACTGCACATTTTCTTTTTCGAACTAGTTTTGTCTACAAGTATAAATGTGAACACTACTTTAAAAAAGAATATGATTTGTATTTTAATACCACTTCAGCCATAACTTGAGGTAGAGTAGATAGATAAAATATTAACGTGGAAAAGATATACAAACTCAGAACTTAAACTTATGCCATTTGTAAAATCAGTTTCCTCCATCCTTCCTCTTGCATTTCTTACCATTCAAAGGATTTCAACATGTTTGAGAGTGTTTTGTCATTAGGAGCTCAGAGACTTTGGTCTGTTTGCTTCATTTACCTGCTTATTTTTGGTCTCCATTTATCATTATTTTTAACAGTTGTCAGTGTTAAATGTGATTTGCCACATCAGCCAACTTATACAGCAAATGCAAATCCATTTGAATTTCACATGCAATTTCTGGACCTCCCAGTCATTTCAGTGTTGCTTTATCAGCATCATTTGATTTTTTTGCCATTAGGGACACTTCTCAGTAATTTTTTGTTTTGTTTTGTTTTAAAGGAAATAGAAAGGAAAACAAGCATGTTCAATTAGACACGGTCCTTCAGTGTTATACAATGAGAGCCCTTATTTAACAGTAACATTCTAGATTATGAATAAGACTTTGCTGTCCCATACAGATGATACAACGTAATTGGATTTTTGATTCAATTATGTCGTATTCAAATTTTGATCCAATTTTGGGAGGGTAACATGTGGAGAGAGTATGTATACGCGCATTCTTTAGGCTGTCTGCATGCTGCTCTGTTATAGCATCTAACTTTGTCTCTACCTTTCAGTTTACTTTTGCTTGATTTCATTTCTGAAAATGATAATTCAGACCATATTTCTTTATGACTATCCAAACACTATATCATTATTTAGAAATTTAGTTTTCTGTTTCGTATTTTGCTTTTTAGCATTATCTTTAAAATTTTAATAAGATTTAATATTTAAAAAAACCCTTTGAGCATCAAACCAAATCACTTTATCTCCTTTATCATAGATCACAGTTACATATGTTCATATAGGCATATTTGCAAAGCTGGGTGAAGTAAAACTGCATAGATATACTTTTTTTTTTTGTCCTCAATATAAGCAGTAGCAAACATATTTATTTAAAATCAAGGCAGAATATCATGGCTAAATGTGGAGGACTAAAGCTAAAATTGTATAATCTCTTAGTTCAAATATCTAAAATACCTAATAAAACTATCAGTTAGAAACACAAGCGACAGAAGTTCATTGGCAGTAACCTAATCATACTCCCTTATACCAGAAGCTTCAAAAATGTTGTCCAGTGAAAAGCAGCAACTGGAATCAAAATGGTTTGACTTCAGATCCTCCCCGCTTTGCCTGCCTCTCATCTCCCCCTACAGTGATATTCAGAGCTTGAACTGTTTGGGAGATGCAGTCTTTCCCTGGAGTGACTGTCACAGACTTCCTACACATCACTGGTCAGATGTGGCTGCATGAAGTCTGGGAGAGGGAAGACAGCAGCCCTGTGATTGGCTTCCACAGTGGTGAGTCTGTCTGGGACCAGGTGCCTCCTCTTCAGAATCAAACTGAGATTCTCTTAGCAAAAGTAGGGGCCGGATGTATATCAGGTATGGAACTCTGAGTCTATCACATTTATTTTCTCCTAATTAGAGAAGAAAAACCAGGTCTTTATCCCTTCACTCTTCATGCTATAGGAAATAAGAATGACTGCTGAGGAGAGAAGGGGAATATTGGAGAAATTAACAGCTAATATTCTATTACAGAATTATAGGGCTTATGGTCCCACATGGAACCGGAGAAATAATCTAAACAATATATATCTCCGTGGTGAGCTAAAAAATAAACTCCTCTCCACCCCCCACAAAATAAAGATATCCACATCCTCATCCTTGGAACCTTATGTGTCAAAAAAGAAAACGATTTTTGTAAACGCAGTTAAGAATCTTGAGATGAGGGATTATATTTTACTATCTAGGTGGGCTCTAAATGCCCTAAATTATAAATTCTTATAAGAGTGAGGCAGAGGGAGGTTATATGAGCACATGTGCGCACATGCACGCGCGCGCACACACACACAAACACACACACACACACACACATGTGAAGAAGGCGTTGTGTCTACCAAGACAGAGATGTGGTCACAAACCAAGGAATGCTGGAAGCCACCAGAAGCTAGAAGAAGTACCCTCCACACTCATGAGAGCACTCTGAAATGAGAAATCAGGATTTACCTAAACACACAGAAATATAATGTGCCATATTAGTAAAGAAGCATACATTCATTTATTTACCTTTTTATTGTTTCCCACTTTTTTCATAGAAAATCTGATTTCATTTTACTGAGAACACACTTTGACTTTATAAGATTATGCTTATAGTAAGAAAAATAAGTTCAAAAAAGGAAGAGTGCTCGCTTCAGCAGCACATATACTAAAACTAGAACTATACAGAGAAGATTAGCATGGCCCCTTCACAAGGATGACATGCAAATTCATGAAACCTTCCATATTTTTTAGGTGAACACACAATGTAAATATATATATGTCTTACTGTCAAAATGTACAGCTGAAACTTATCAGATTTTATTAACCAATGTCACCATAAAAAAATAAATTAATTTTTTTTAAAAAAGAAAGAAAACTTTTGAAAATATTAACACTTTCTTAATTAAGCAGATGAACTTTAAGCTAATAAGATGGTTAATACAGGTGAATAATGCCTTGTTACAATTTCTGCTACATGGCACTTTAAAGTCACTTACTAAATGTTCATAGCCTAATAACACTTTATGCATGTATGTGTATCTTTGTTTCATAAATAAAAAATTGATATAACATGAACTTCAGAGATTTAGAATCTCTAGTTTAATGATCCATATCTTTTCATGATATGAAAATATGCTTGGTGTGAAATAATTGCCTTGAAATAATTGCCTTAAAGTATTATCATAAAACGATCTTGTGTGCCACAGGTTGTAGGATTGAGACTGGCATTAGAAACACATGTAGTAGAATTTCTTATTCCAAGGATGTAGAGAAATTTCTTAATTTCTTACCCTGTCCCCAAATCTCTTTACTAAAACCTGAGATTTCTCTCTTAGAGCTACCTTATTTTAGTGGAAGTCTTTGTTAATTTGTTAAATTCAATAGCAGAAGGTAACATAGTGACTGTTATCGTAAGTCAAAGAATTTAAAACTTTCCAAATTACAGTTTCTTAATAAATAAATGTGTATAAATCCAAGAGTCCCGAATGGATCAAAAATATTTATAGAAGAAAGCAATAAAGAAAGGAGCAGGTAACAGTTGGTCAGAACAAAGAGGAAAAAACAAATTGAGAAGAATGGTAATGCTAAAAATAAGCTTCAGCTCTTCTGAAATTGTAACGGAGGGTTGAATTATAACCATGTGCAGTTCTATTCCAAGTTGATAAAGATCTTTAAGATCCTATAAAGATATGAACTATAATTGAATTCCATTTAATAGCTGAAGTATGTAACATGAGTCTCAGAACTATATAACAAATGAAACAAAAAATAAATTTATAGTTTTTGTTCTTTCCCATAATAAATGAATCTGTAATTTGGAGAGTTGTCTCTGCTCCTTCAATACATGTTCTTGCAATACACATGTCTGTAAGAAGCTTGGACTTCTTATAAATAAATTGTATATATTTGGAAATTAGGAAATGAGTGAGAATAATAGAGGACATTTAGCTTTTAAAAAATGCTTAGATACTCAGAGCGATGCCTGAATAATCAATCATATTTATTCAAGCATATGTATGGGATGTATGTATTGATTTATTTTTAAATAAGCAAACATATTGTCTACCTTGAATGTAATTTTGATGGTTTGACATTTTAGTGTCATTTTATGCCAAAGAATAAAAGCTATGAAAAAGACTTTATATTTATAAATAAATTTCTAGAATTGTACCTAGATATAAAGATAAAGTATTTGGAATTTGATATTTTAAAATGAGCAAATAATTTCCCTGAAATTTGGAGGTTATGTTACATTGCTAGTTATCTTTGAAACAGTGAAGCAGTTTGGATGTTTTTAATTATTACTCCTTGGGAATCTGTACCTAAAACTTTGTTCAGAGAAACTGTTGTCTGACTGCAAGTCTGAAGACTACAAGCATAAAACTGATGAAATGACCAAGAAATAATTGGAATACTCTAAACAGGTTTGTGTGCTGGTCTAAACACAAGAGGACAGCAGATGGTACTAAACTCTTAGCAGTGGAGGGCACTAGCTCTTAGCAGGGGTGGGAGCAGAAATTGAGTAGGTGCAGAATGAAACTCTTGGGAGAATTGAAGGTGGGATAAAAGTTATGCTCAGGATCAAAACTTTTAAGAAGTAAATGAGAAGCTTTGTTAAATCACGTGGGAGTAGAATCTGAAAGTTAAGAGATGAAAGTAAAGAATTTAAAGAGATTATAGATGACCTTGGCGACTTAGAGCCATTGAATTAAAGGAAGAGAATGGAGATAGATAGTAGATACAGAAGAGTGATTCTTTTTTTCTTCCAGCTTTATTGAGATAAAATTGGCATACAGTCATGCACTGCATAATGACGTTTTGGTTAAGGACAGACTGCTTACACAAAGGTGGTCTCATAAAATTACAACGGAGCCGAAAACTATCGCTCAGTGACATCATAGCCATTGTAAAGTCATAGCACAAGGCATTACTCACGTGTTTACGATGATCCTGGTATAAACAAACTTATGCAGTGTCAGTCATATAAAAGTATAGCACATACAATTACAGTAGTAAGCTATTCCATCTAGGTTTGTATAATTATACTCTATGATGTTTGTATAACAAAATCACCTAAGAACACATTTCTCAGAGGGCATCCTTGTTAGCAAGCAGCGCAAGACTATAACATTGTATAAGTTTAAAGTGTACAATGTATTGATTTGATACACTCATATATTGCAATATGATTATCTCCATCACATTACATAATTACCATTTCTTTTTCTGTGATGAGAACATTTAAGATTTACTCTAGTAGCAATTTTCAGCTACCCACTACAATACTGTTAATTATAAACACAACGGTGTGCATCAGATCCCCAGAATTTATTCATCTTCTAACTGAAAGTTTGCATCTTTTGGCCAACAGCTCCTTAGTCTCTGACCCAGAATCCCTGATGACCACCGTACTACTTTCTATTTCTATGAGTTCAGATTTTTTAGATTCCACATACAACTGATTTTTATATAGGAGGCACAGTCCTCTAATAGACTATCAGAATTTCTCGAGAAAGGAGAGAGGAATAAAATCACCTGTATGCATTGATAAATAATATTCAATAAAATTTCATGTGAGAAAAAGTTGAGTGAAGTTGATATAGAGAATATGTTGGACATGCTTGGAAAGTCAAGCACTAAATAAGATGTTTAATAGCCAGAGAGGATGTATATATGAAATAATTACTTTGAACAGTGCAATATTGCTGGCATTAGCTACTTCCGAGCAAACATTTTGCTGATATGTTTATTAATGAATGTGAAATGCATTGTGCTTCCTCACAAGAAGTATCTATATAAAATCCCTGATATTGCAGTGGATTTATTGTTATTAATGGTTCAAACAGGAAAAAAGTTCATTTCAACTCCCATTTGCTATTGAGTGAGAAAGCCGATCTGTTTAAAACTGTATTATGATTGAGTGGTCATAGCTGAGAGAACTGATTAGGCACTACTTCAACATGGGAAATGAAGAATTCATTACCTTAATATTCTGCTAAAAGGCCTTTTGAGCCCTTTTAACCAGCACTAAGTTATCACGGTGATGGCAAAAGTTAATGGTGGTTTGGGTGAGAATTTTGACCTAAGTTTCTCAAGCAGCTAACAAGGTTATTCTGTCAGAGACTTGGATCCACAGCTTTTTGGAGCATACAAGGATAAGGACTTTTAAAAAATATATTAGAGACTTAAAACGGAAGCACCTCCTTGGCCTTTCAGAGGACAGACTTGTCTTTCAGTGATCTTTGGAGCTCGAGTGTATAGATTGAGTAATTCGCTGTGCTTTCTTTTATGAGTACTGTGCTTTAGATCATTCACTCTTTGAAAAAAGGCATTTATTTTGATGCCTCATCATGACATAAAAAAAACGCTGTACAGCAAATACTTTTTCTTTCACTTATTAAACCCAAGTTTATTCTTCATTTCACATGCAAATAACATAAATATATTCAAGATTAAAAAGCCCAATTCTCTCTATTACCTTCTTCTCTCTCTCCTCCTTGCCTCATAGAAAATGAAGAAATATTTTATAAAACAAAACTAAAC